CCCACCACCCCACCCGCCCATATCTCCGCCTCACCTGCTCGGGGCGAGGTGTGCAGTGGAATCACTTGGAATCGCTTCCTCCGGCCCGCCTCGCCCCGCCCACGCGCGATGCTGCTGCTTGTCACGCTTCACTCCTCTGCTCAATAAGTCGCGTTTACGACCAATAACTCGCGAATCAGACGAGGAAATCTTCTTATCTGCCCTGCTGCGCCATCTCTCCGCTCCTCGCTGTACATAAAGGGGGAGGAGAGAGAGTAGAGAGAGAGAGGAGGGGGGGGGAGTGGGAGATGGCGAAATTGATTGCCAAAAGAAGTGGGTTAGGGCAACCGCCGAAACAATTGTTGCGATTTGTATTTGACAAATTTGCATTTTTAGTGATGCAAAGGAGAGATTCTTCCCTACCCAAGAAAGTGGCGGTGCGGTACGACTCCGTCTCCATCGCGTTCGTATGTTGATTTGAAACGAGGGAGACGCAGAGACCGCTTGCTTGCACTCGCATTGCGGCGGGTGAGACTCCCGAGACCGAACAGCAGAGCCTGCTCCTCTATCTCCCTACCCATCCTCCCTCCCTCTCTCTCTCTCTCTCTCTCTCTCTCTCTCTCTCTCTCTCTGGCGACTTTTTAACTTTTCAGTTTCCTTGCTCTCGCCCGCGCGTTTACACGTTTTCATTCCGCTGGCTCGGCAGCCCGCGGCGCGGAGTGGAGTGGAGATTCTCCAGAGACAAGCAGCGCCGAGCCACATTGACTTCACGTTTCATCGCGCGGCTCTGCTCGGCGAGCGCCTCGCTCGCACCACGCCCCGCCCCGCCACGCCGCGCCAGGGTTTCGTCCTATAAATATTTATTTCCGTTTCGCGCGCATCTCGCGTGAAAATCATCCTCCAGCTTTTTGGAGAGGGAGGGAGGGGAGTGGAGAGCGAGAGGGGGGCTGGAGGTGAAGAGGAGCGAGGAACTAGCGCACCAGGGAGGGGAGGGGGTAGGAATCTGTCGGCCACGACTAAATTTTTGCACTCTAAATCAATTACAAAGAATTTGTTCGTATAATGCAACGAATTCTGTGCAACCGTAATATACAAGAAATTTCCTTGTATTACACGAAAGTTTTCTTTGTATTACAATGATTTTTGTTTGTATTACAAAGAAAATTTGGCAAATTTGGAAAATTGCACAAAATTCTTTGTAATAAAAGAATTTTCTTTGTAAGAATTTAAGAGTGTGCTTAAGTAGACATCAAAACCTATTTGTTGCAAGTGCCAAAAAAATCAGCGTTTCAAGAAGTTGGTCGCCATCATAAAAATTGAGTTGGAGCAACAAACTGTTCGTTCGAATATTTCTGATTCCATTCCCGTGTAAACGAAGCGAGTCCGGGGTGTCTCCACCCACCTTCCCCCTCCTTTCTCTCCACTGCTTTCTACCTCTTTCGCCAGATTTCTACCTCCCCTGTCTCTCTCTCACTCACTCACATCGGCACGTGATGCTTCGCGGGCACGCTTCTGGAAAGATACACACCTTGCCCTTCACCTGCCTCAAAATATGTCCCGCGTGGGATGGAGGAGAGAGAGAGAGAGAGAGAGAGAGAGAGAGAGAGAGAGAGAGAGAGAGAGAGAGAGAGAGAGAGAGAGAGGGGAGGGGGGGGGGAATGAGAGAGAGAGGAGAGATCAGGGAGAAAGGGGGGGGGGGCTGCCGGCGCCCTCTCCCGCGCTCCACTCGAAGATGGTCCAGATGCAGGCGGGCGGCGGCGTCTGCGCCCGGAAATGAAGAGGCGCTCGGCGCCAAACCAAATGGAATGCCCTCGCATCTTGTGCGGCGCGCAAGTGACAGCCCCGGACGTGGGGCCCGGCCCGGTCCGAGGGAGAGAGGGAGGCAAATGCAGCGCTCACCGTTCCGTGCGTCCGCTGCCGCTGCCACTCGGTTCTCCTCACACATTTTTTTTATTTATATATTTTTTGCCCACTTCGGCCTGACGCGCGCATCTTGCCTTCCGGTCGTGGCGGGTCGGGGCGAAGCTCGGCTGCTTCTGGGGAGGCGGGAGTGATGCAGTGCGCGATGCGGACCCGACGCTGACTGATGCGTGTAGGCGCCGTAGGCGAGCGGCAGGGGGCGATAGCTCTGCGCAATTGGTCCCTCGCTCCGCCTCTCTCTCTCTCTCTCTCTCTTACTTTCTCTCTCCCTCTCGCCCTCTCGTCCCCCCATCTCACTATCAATCCCACTCACACTCCAACATTAATGTATCGGGAGCAAAAAGGAGCCCCCCTCGTTTTGTGTAAGTGTGTTCGTGTTCTTTTAGTCAAAAGCACACAAAAGACGAATAAAATTTACAGAAAAAAAAAAATTAAAGAGGGAAGTTTACAATGACATTGACGACTCAATCGGCATTAATTATAAGCTCGCCGCGCTGCTTTATTGAAGCCCCCCTTTTTAAAAAATCGCGCCGCTCTGTCTTCGCCCCCTCTCCCTCTCCCGCCCCCTCCCTAGGCCGACAGGTACAGCGGCCCGTCCTATGCCTCTCGTCCTGCCGCTATCCCTCCATTCACCCGTCTCCCCGCCCCCTCCAGTCCCGCACCGTACTGGCGCGCATTGTGCGGTGGGCGTGTGCGTGTCGCGGCGGGGTTCATCGCTTACCTCCCGATCTTCACCCCCCTCCCCTCCCCCTGCCACCCCCTTCCACCCTGACGACATAACATCAGGGGGCTGGGCGGGTAGGGTCATGGACTCGCATGGGGGTTCTGGTCCCCACCTGGTGGTTGCCGCTCGGCACGACAAAGACACATTCGGATATTTATAGGCGCACGATGGTGATGGCCTGGATCGTCTTGGATCGGCCGAAACCATCACAACATTTTACCGAGAGGAAAACAAAAGGGGCACAGTGTATACCTCGACGGGGTGGGTGTGGGTGGCCCTGGGTGGCATGTGCCACCCCTGCTGCACTCACAACCGGGACTCCACGTGTGAGATAAGAATGGCACACTTGAGCAAGAGTGAGAACGTCTGACACTTCACTTATCTTAACTGTGCACTACCACTACCACCCACCCACCTAACCACCCGGATCCATCCACGCCAAACCGCTAAAATCCATAACATTTCGCGAGAGATGAAAGTTGGCACGGGCAGAACTCGGCTATTT